AAACAAGAAATTCATACGAAGACATAAAAGCAGAAGTTCACAACGGCAAGGGACATGAAACTCAGGCTTATAATCACCCAATGAATAAGTGGGTGGTTTGGAAGGAAAGCGCAAGAGTGACCATGTGGGAGGAAATTCAAGCAGAAAGACAAACTCAAATGAAACATTTGATCCCTGAAAGGTAGGGCTTCACTCTGGAGACATCAGCCAGATTTGCAGTCTTCAGCTCCCACTCCCCCACATTCAGCTTGATGTCATTACCCAGCATCCCTGGGAGGGTTTTTTTTTTTTTTTTTTTTTTATGCAATCAAAGAGTATAGCACCTGAAACAAGTGCAGGAATTTACCAGACTGGTGTGAAAAAAAAAGGAAATTGCTACTTGGAAGAATTACTGCTCAGGTTTGCTTCAGGGGATGAATACCTCTTTGTTTTTGGCTTGTTTCTGTAATGATTTTATGAGTGATAAAACCGCCAGAAATATCCAGACTGTAGAAAGGAATTCATATCCAACTTTGTCTCCGAGGAACAATATTTTTCTTTGCCGTTTCAAGAAGTCAAAGGTACCATTTCATCTTAAGCTCTATCTAAGGGTTGGGCGCACAACCCCTTGTGTGCAGGCCTTCATCCTCAATGCGGCCGTCACAGGTTCGATTCCCGACCTGTTGACCTCTTCCGCATGTCCTCCCCCTCTCTCACAACCCACTTTCCTGTGTTGATTCACTGTTGAATAAGGGTCACTAGAGGAAAAAGAATTTTAAAAAAGCTTTAAGGGTAATGTTAAAAACGAGATTTGCAAAGTCTGATCATACACAAGCCTATATGTTCAGTATTCATCCACTGCTTTAAAACTTTCTAATAAGCTGTCATGAATTACCAAAAATAACATAATATAAGGCTTTAAAATGTGCTGAGTCTGACAGATGTTACTTCCAGGCTTTGTCCCTGTTGAAGCTGAGAGAAAGAATAGGGGCCGACATAAATTCACTGCAAACATCTGCTTTGTTTCAGGAAAACTCTGCGTTTCAAAATCCCAGCGGGTTCAGCAAGCTCAGCGAAACGATGACGTCAAAGGTCAAAAGAAGGGAGACATTAAAATGTTTGTGCTCAGGTGAAAAGTCAGCATGCAGCAATTACTGAAGACTTAACCTGCATCAAAACATGAACTCAGGCCACAGAGTGGCAAACATTACACTGCAGGATCATCGGTGGGTGGATGAGAAATCAGATCTTCTCTCCCTCCGGTAGTCATCTCAGCAACCCTCAATTTATGCATTTACTGAAGCTGTTTGCTTACACTCTGTTTTGGAGTTTCCCAAAGGACTGCCGTGGAGTATGTGAGGGCACCGGAGGAAAAGACTTACCCTTAAACATGAATAATATGGCTGTTTAGAGATTGATGAGAGCACGGCACACAAACTTGAGAGAGGGAGACTCCAGCAAGGTTTTCTCAAAGCTGGCGGGGACAAGAAGAGGGAGAGAGAAAAATGCGCTTTAGACAGAGGCTACACAGAGTAATTATGAGTGAAAGAAAAATGCAGCAAAGCTTGGACACATTTTGACGTGACAGACGGTTCAAAGGCAGAGATCAGACTGTGAAAAGTTAACATTTTGCATCGAGCAGGCTCCTCCAACAACTTGCACAGGCATATGTAAACTGTTCATCCATCAGTGCAGTTTCAAGAACTGCATCAGTTTCAAGAACTGCAAAGGAAGTAGCTAATAATAATTAAGATGTCAGTATCTGCTTCATTTCCTACAATTTCTACAGCAGGGGTGCCCAAGTCCAGTCCTCGAGAGCTACCATCCTGCAAGTTTTAGAAGTATCCTTACTCCAACAGACCGGGATCAGCTCTACAGAGGCCTGATGACCCCTGGTCTACAGCATCACCCACACTATTACAAGCACTGAGGCATGCAACCTAGCGCTTTTTAAGATCAGTTTTTTTCAAAAGGCTATGACCCCAGATAAACAAAAAAAAAAAAAAAATGAGGAACTAGCTAAAATTATTTTTAGTCAGTTCCTCAGTCATTTTCAGTTGTGGAAGACGAAGGATTCAGAAAGTATGCTGATGCTCTCAGTCCAACATAAAAACTTCCTAGCAGAAAAACACTCCACCTACAAAAAAAAAAAAAAAAAAAAAAAAAAAAAAAACACCCAAGAACGTTCTTCGCTCCTAGAAAGGGTAAAAAAAGCAACAGCTGTCTGAATAACAACCGACTGCTGGAAATCCCGAACCACCACATTCTACATGCCTTTTTGTTAAAAATTACAAACTGGTGTCCTGCCTACTGGCTTGTTTCGTGTTCAGTGACAGACATACTTCTGAGAAATTAGCAGCAGGGCTGCTCAAACTGGCACAACAATGGGACGTGGAAAGCAATGTAGTGTGCCGCGTTAGAGGCAATGCAGCTAACATAGCAAATGCAATTAAAACCCTGAAATGGGATCCACCGCTCATGCCTTGCACACACAATTAACTTGCTTGTAAGAGATTCTCTGACGGTGATGAACAGAGAAGCTCAAAACTATCCAACGACTGACGGGAATTCCTGAGCTGAAGCTGAAACAAGATTATGTGACTAGGTGGGACTCTTCTGAAATGGCTTCTGGATTTCAAGGATACAGTCATCTCCACCGTTATCAGAGCACCTCCCATTCTTCTGAGTCAAGAGGAATGTGAGGCCTGCACTGCTCTGTTCACTGAGGAGATGAGCGCAGGCAGGTACAGTCTAAATATCATGCTATGATGTTATTATTCCCCAGCTATCCTGTTTAGTCATTGTATTATTATTATTATTATTATTATTATTATTATTATTATTATTATTATTATTGTTATGACAAGCAGATTAAGCATGACTGGGTTTTTTCATAGAGTTTAACACATAATTGCTTGCTCGTTTTCAGCTATGTTACAGCCTCTAAAATGTTCATCTTCTGCAAAAGTTAACAGAGAAGTGACAGAAAAGTGAAGGAGTTAGTGCAGGGGTGAGCAATCCTGGTCCTGGAGGGCCGGTGTCCTGCAACTCTTGGATGTCTCCCTGGTCCAACACACTTGAATCCAACAGCTGAATCACCTAAGTGCAGTCACGTTCTCCAGAGTCCTGCTAACGACCTCATTATTTGACTCAGGTGTGTTGAAGTAGAGACACACCTAAAAGTTGCAGGAGACCGGCCCTCGAGGCCCCTGATTAGTGGATGCTTTGTCCACAGGCTGGAGTGCAGCCATGTTCTATCAGAAACCACCAGAAATTTTGACCGACGATTCAGTGAAACCAGAGCAGCTGATGAAGCTCTTCAGAGAATAATTTCAACAGCAGCAAGAGCCAGCTAGTCACAGGGCCAAGAGGGAGAAGAGGCAGCAACGTGCCTAGATGAGGAACTGCACGCATTCGCTGTTTGGAGGTTCTTTGAAGAACAAGCGACTGGTGAAACTAAAAGGAGCCCATCAGAAGACGCCATGGTGGAAGTGGGATTAAGTCTCGAGACTGTTTCACAGAGAAACACAGACCCACTGAGCTAGTGGCAAACCAAATGTTCAGTTTATCCACTTCCTTCACACGTGAAGCAATTAGTCTCTGTATTGTAACATTTGTCCCCTCAGTAAAATACATACTTCCAAAATAGGAAGTAGAAACAGGATCAGTAACTAAAAGCTGAGGCTCTTGGTTTTCTATATGCCAATCTTGACAAAAAAAACTTGCTAAAACTGTCATACTTAACAAGGAGTGTGAAATTGGTTGCCAGTGGTCATTTTAATATTTGAAATACTGAATCCAGCTGTTGCCCACATTTTATGAATCACTTGCAAATTCTTGAATTAGTTTTTCTTCACATTCCTCTCAATGTGAGGATTTCTGTGTGTGTTTATTAGTCCCTGTGTTGTGTCTACCCCTCGATTGTTCCCAGCTGTCCTTCATCTCCCCTGACTGCCCCCAGTGTATTTAATCCCACCTGCGCTCCCTGCGCTCCCTGCTCCCAGCTCCCTTGTTGTGTGTCGTGTCTTTGCCATTGCTTTCTATGCAATGGCAAAGACGCGACACAATGGCAAGAAAGCAATTGCATAGAAATTGCTTTCTATGCAATTTGGTTACAGTTGGCAGCAACTGTTTTCAGTTGCTACCAGTGTCTGAGCTCATTGCCTTATTCCTCACCTGTGCTGCCTGGACTGTTTGTATATGTTTAAAGCCATAATTCACTCTACAACCTGGGTCCACCGTGCGTCCATCCTCACCATAAATACTACAACTCATGATATTCAAAGATGATAAGGCTATTTCTGCAGCTTGTGCAATTCTTTTTCAACCAGTTTCTTTTCCACTGAACATCCTGTGAAGTATGTTTCTGTGAATAGCCAGCTTCTCTAGTAAAGACTTGTTGGGGCTTCCCATATGTCAAGTCAGTGGTCTGAATTAATTACATTGACCACTATATAATATTCTGTATTCTAAGTTTTTTTTATTGGTCTAATGTAATATTTTGAGAAACTGAATATTATGTCCCCATTAGATTTAAGGCACAATCATAAAATGAACAAAATAAATATTTGATATATTACTCTGTAAGGAACCTATCTGCAGGTTTCAGTTTTTTCATTGAATTATGAAAATACAATAACGTTTTGGTCATTTATTTATTTTTTTAGCTTTTTGAGATGCAACTTCAAATGCAGCAAAAGGGGATTCAACAAAAATATTGACTCAGGGGTTGAATACAAAATATGTATAACAGTGATATTAAAACAAGGATTGTTATATAAACTGAATGAAGTGAAATGAAAAATAAACAATTTGTTGGTTAATCAGACATGACAAAAGGGTTCGTGTATTGGGCTTCTGTGATATGGGCTTCTAAAAAAGAAGAAAAGAAAAAGAAAAGAAAAGGAAAGAAAAGAAACTGCACCGACGTCTGTGGGAATTTATTTTGCAATAAGCATTTACATCTAAGTAGTGCAACAGTTTCCTGCTTGCCAGATGAGGAGGCTCCGGGACGTCCTGCCCAGCTGTGATGTCAAACAATTAGGGGTGTCAAGGATCTGAGCTCCACGTTTTCCCCATAGCAGACAGAGCTGCCCGTGAGGCTGAACGCATCTGACTCATCCGGACGAGACAAGGTAGGACGATTAAAAATTGGCATTTTACCAAGAGATTAAATATGGAGATCAATTAAAATTAATTTAAAAACGTGGGCTTGAGATTGAATGGGTGAAATGTACTTTTTTTTTTGTTCTTTTCTTTTTTTGTATGAGCAAAACAACGACTCGTGTGTGAATCTGGGTTTTGCTGTTATAGGCAGCTTTAAAAAAACTTTCAGGGGAAAAAAAAGAAAAAAAAACCTGAGAATGTTAATTAAGCCGCACTTTGTGAGATGAGTTTTATGGATGTGCTGCGACGGTTTTCGTGTGGTTTTGACGGAGAACAAAAAGCGTCTTCTCATCAAACTCGGTTCCACTTTTACTCTCGCTTTGATCTCAGATTTTCACGCAGCGTAGAAATTGATGCTTTGCTTTATGTGCGCCTACTCAGGTTATAAACCCTTTTAATTTACCGCTGTTGCGGGGGAATATTTATTTATTTTTATTTTTTTGAGAATGTTTGTATATCTACATATGTTTATTTGGTTACAGAGTCAACAAGCTTTAAAAAGCACAGTCAGAATGGTTCATACACTTTAAAACTACGTAAGTGAGGAGTTATGTGAACAAAGTTAGGCGAACATAAGTACATAGTATTCTAAGCAAATTAACTTAAAGGTTGTTTATTCTGATGCTGCAGGTTTTACTTTACTCAAATGACCTCTACAGGATTTAAGCTCTCTAATCTTTTCTCTACCGTGTGCAAAACATTACCCTTGTTAACATTAGAAGTGGGTCAAAATTTGTTTATAATATAGGTAGCCTGGCCATTGCCTTCCTGTACAATTCTGCTTGATTCAAATCTCGCTTCACAGCACAGTCTGGTCTTTCTCCCACTTACTTAGATTCCTCTGGTAGAATTTCTACCGAGGCAATCAGCAAACAGAGTGAGAAGTTGTGAACCAAAGTGTCAATTTTCTGCTCTGTTTTAGATCTGTAGTCTGAGTCTGCCTGTAGTTTTAGCAATGGCAGCGGAGGAAGTGAACAAAGCCGTTCAGTCCACGTTGGCCACGCTTCCAGATACTGAATTGACACTAACACCCGCTTGTTCAGTTCGGCATTTCTCTCTTTGCAATGGAGGATGGTTGTTTATAGAGCATGGCAATTTTCAGTAAGCTTCACAGCATTGAGCTGGTGCATGACATACATCATGGACTGGGTAAAATTTCAAACTTTAACAGAATCTACGCTTTCAGGGAGCAATCGTTCTGAATAGCTGAGACCCCAGACCCTCTGTACGAAGCAAAGCGTAGAACAAGGGGTTGGTTTTTCCATCCATCCATCCATCCATCCATACATCCATCCATACATCCATCCAATAATTATTTGGAGTCAGTTTGCGGGCAGCAGCCTAAGTAGGGAGGCCCAGACTTCCCTCTCCTCAGCCCCTGCATGGGGCAGCTCCTTTGGGGGAACCCTAAGCCATTCCCAGCCAAGATCCATAGTTTTTGGCTGTTGTTTTTTTTGTTGTTGTTTTTTTTTTTACCAGGCTATAATATAACCTCTTCCATCAGGCTTTCAGGTGTAGCTACATTTCAAGATGTAACTCTTTCTGGGGCTTTCGTTTGTTTGTTTTCCTGATAATCTGGATTGATTACATATCTACAGATGACAAAATGCTAATGCACGATGACAATATCTAAAAAGTCATTTCAGTGTTGGTGCAACTTATTAACTGGTTTCACCAACATTGGTTGATGGCAGCAGCTACCATCAGGTGAATAGGGCTTTTCATCTTTGTGAGGAATGTTGGGCTATTTATTGCAGAGTTACTCTCATTGCAGGGTTCTTGTGTATGACCACTTTTTAGTCTGGTGATTTTTGAGGCTTCTCTTTCTTTGTGCTTTGTATAATTGACATAATGTACAAACTAAGTGCTTGAACTTAATGTAATGAACTGATGACCAGACATCTTCTGTCAGGAGTTTCTGATAGAGAGGAGAAGTCCTGGTTTAATCAGTTAGAGTAAGATGTCCAGAAAAACAGCCCCAATCCACCATCACAGTCAAACATCAACTTAGTTTGACTGTGTTAGTTTTATGTCACATGCATAACACGACACCCTGTCCAGAAAGTTAAACGTTCCTCTCGGTATTCCACAGAATATTTTCCCAAAGCCCTTGAGACTATTAAGATGTTTTTCAGCAAATGTGGGCTGAGCCTTTGTTTGGACACCATTTTAATTACTATTGTTGTTGAGCACTGATCGAAACACAGCTGAGTGAGGTCTGTTATGTTTCAGCTGTTGTTTTCAGTTCTTTTCTGACCTCCTGGACAAGTCTTCAATGTGCTCTTGGAATAATTTTGGCATGGCTTCCAATCCTGGATAGGTTCATCATGTTTCCATGTTTTCTCCATTTAAGGATAATGACTCTCACTTTGTTTCTCTGGAGTCCCAAATCCTTGCAGAGACTCTTTCCAAGATGGCAGAGTTAAATGATTTAGTTTGTCATCCGTTGTGAAAGTTTTTTAAGGGGGCAAATACTTTTTATACCATGATTTGTCCAGTAGCTTACTCCTCATCAGGATGTCCTTGTGTCCCAGTACGTGACTCAGAGGCTCCTTAGAAATCTGACCAACGCCCATGGCATCACTTATGTCAACTGGTCATTTTTTCCTGAAGTCACAGCTCTAAATGCTTTTTGACATCAAGATGTCCTGGTCCAAAGCACAAAACCTCTAAAGAACACCAACAAATGCAGCCACACAGCAGTCAGTATTGCAGGTTCCTGTTTTTGTCTTCTTTCTTTTTTTCTTCAAAATTTAAAATAAATATTTTTTTTTTATTTCTTAATGTCTTTTTATACAGTTTTAATAACTGACACAGCTGCTTTTTGAGATTGTAAAATGTAATTGGGTTAATTTAGACAAACTTAAGATAAATTATTAATTAAAATGTAATAATAATTGTTTGGGTACTACCAGATGATATCCCTAACCAAAAACAAAACCTGCCTCACACCTTGCAAAAGTATCTTAGTGAACTCAAGGTAAAGCTATTTGAATAAGATGTTCTTTCTTCTTCCATCCAAATGCAAGTCTTAAAAAAATTTAATGTAATTTTCCTTCAGTCAAGCAAAACATTTTGGCAAGATCTGTATCTGTATGAAAACTTTGGGCTTTTTAAGTTGTTCCTCTAAATCAGGGGTCACCAACTCCAGTCCTCAAGGGCTACCTTCCTGCAACTTTTAGATTCACCTCTGCTCCAAAATGTCTGAATTCCCTCTCTAGCAATAGGCTGGAAACGAGCAGTTTATTTGATCCAGGTGTGTTTGAGCAGAGACGCATCTAAAAGTTACAGGATGGTAGCCCTCGAGGACTGGAGTTGGTGACCCCTGCTCTAAATATTTTGAATTGATCTTTTTTTTTTAATTTCCCTTCAATTTTCTTGAAAACTAAAACCTAATGCTTTGTAATTTCTTGCAGGTTCTTTAACGATGATGGAGCAAGCTTCTTACTATTACAGCAATATCACTGGTCTAAACAATGACTCCTTGTATGACGACGACGAGTACTACAGGGATGATCACGATCACAGCAGCAAAGACGAGCACTCTGAGCTGAGGCAGTCCCTCACCATAATGTCCCTCATCGTCTACTCGCTGGCCTTTGTCTTGGGCGTGCTTGGGAATGGAGTGGTTATCTGGGTGACTGGCTTCAAGATGAAAAAAACGGTCAACACGATTTGGTTCCTCAACTTGGCCATTGCTGACTTCCTCTTCACGGCCTTCTTACCGCTCAGTGTGACATATACAGCTATGGACTTCCACTGGCCATTTGGCAAGTTCATGTGCAAGCTAAACACCACCATCAGCTTCCTGAACATGTTTGCCAGCGTCTACATTCTGGTGGTGATCAGCGTCGACAGATGCGTGTCCGTTGTCTGGCCTGTCTGGGCGCAGAATCACAGGAATTTGCGTAAGGCTTCATGCATCAGTCTGTGCGTTTGGGCATTGGCTTTGATCCTCAGCGCTCCGTACTTTGTCTTCAGGGATACCGGCCCGTCGTACGAGAATGAGAACATCATCAACTGCTTCAACAATTTTGCTATGTCTGAGGACAGTGAAAACCAATCTGTCCTCAAGCTGCAACTTTTCCGCCACAAGGCCATGGTGATCACTCGCTTCCTCCTGGGCTTCGTCATCCCCTTCAGTGTCATCGTCTCCTGCTATGCCGTCATAATCCACCGCCTTAGGCGAAACCGTACGCTGGCCAACCAGTCCAGCCGCTCTTTCAAGATAATTGCCGCCATTATTGTCACATTTTTCCTTTGCTGGGCTCCCTTTCACGTCATGGGTCTGTTGGAGATGGTAAGCAACATGGGAAATCACTCAAATGAGATGTTGCTCCACATCATCATAATCGGAGTCCCGATCGCCACAAGCCTGGCCTTTCTCAACAGCTGCCTGAACCCACTGCTGTACGTGTTCATGGGCCAGGACTTTAAGGATAAAGTTCGCAAATCCATCCTGAAGGTCCTGGAGAATGCCTTCCAGGAGGAGGTGTCCCGCTCTTACACCTACACAAACTCAATGATCACCATTCGAAGCAAAGACAAATCACTCTCTGACGCCGAGGTGTGAGACTGTCATGGACACTTTAGCTGTACAATGTAAATGCTACTGTAAATATAAAATCATTTTTATCTACTAACCATGTATTCTACTGTGCTTTGAATGCTTAGTTTTGCCTCAAGATATAATCGACAATCACTTTTTAGTTTTGGTTTTGAGCTACAAAACATGAATTCCAACTACATTGGCCAAATAATGCAACCTTCTGCCAAGTCAAAGAGAAACTGGGTTGCAGCAAGTTATTTCACCAGCTTCCTTTTCTATTTTAACTTGGAAACCAGAAACTTTGAACTTGACACATGATACCGTCCAAGGTGGTCATCTGTGGGTTTTCACCACCTGTGAACTAGAACAAAGTGTGCAGTTTCATTATGTCTTTATCACATCTTGGGTCAACAACAAATAGTTTCATCTGACAGCTGCTGTCCTTCATTTTTGTCACCTGACATTAATACCTTCTTAGGCACTGATTGCTGTCTGCTGCATGCTTCAATAAATATTTCATTGCCTTTTCTATCAAGCATGAAAGAAATGTGACATTGATAAATGATGCTTAAAATTCCAGCTGCATTATAATTATATTTGCCCCAATTTCTATGCATTTTATCCTAACGACTATAAACTACTAACTGAAGGTGGAGGAGCTGGAAAAGGCATAAAAATCCTCTGGATTTTATTCAACTTAGAAAATGTGCCTCTTTTTCCCCTATATTGATGATTATGTGATTATGATTATGCTACGGTATGTAATATGTTAAACATCAAGTTTGACTTGTATTTCAACATAGTCATTTTTATACTTTTTTCCGCACTTGTTTTAGTTGTACTGATAGCCTGATATGAGTGGTGATGATTCAGCACGTACAGTGGAAAAATTATTATTTTTAAGTTGTAACTAAAACCGATCTGCATATCTGTTAATGACGTAACACAATTTATCATGAGGCAGCTTATCGCACATCAAACGTCAATGCTTTTAAACGCCACTAGAGGGTGCTGTTTTATTTTATTTTATTTTTTAAATCAGCAAGTCATCGAAGGAGTCTATGGGCGACCTTTTCTCATTCAAACATTAAAACCAGCAGTTATTGACATTTTGTCTGTCACAAATAAAAGAAGACACCTCAATTTGTATGTTGTAGCTGTTCTAAATGTAGGCTAACAAGACATTGCTAGTTATTTTTGAATGTGTGACATTACAAACAGTGCAAGTCTAAAAAATTGTTTCCAAGTTCTTCTATATTATTCCTGCTTCTTAGAATATGTTGTTTATTTTTACAATAAACCAATATTGTTGTACAAATTTTCTATTTTTAAATGGCTTACATTTTATCTTTTTTCTTTCTTTCTGAAAGTCAGCTAAAAACTATTATTGCTTTATAGAAGTGGAATCTAAGATAACTTAACAATAAGTCAGTCAATCAAACACTAATAAAATCAATCTTTAGGGAATTTTAATGTGATTTTATAGCTAGTCGTTCCATTGTCTATATCCTCTTGTCTGTGCAGAGTACCAGACCGGTGCCTGTCTCCAGCAGGCATTGGGCGAGAGGTGTGATACACCCTGGACATTTTGACAGTTCATCACAGAGCAACCATGCACACACAAATTAACAACAACCTAATAGTCATGGTTTAACTGTGGAAGGAAGCTGGAGTCGGAGACAACTCACACATTCACAGGGAAAAGGTAAAACATGTCCAAGGATATTTCTGCTGGAAGGCATCATTGCTACCCTTAAACAAGCAAAAAAGAAGAAGAAGAAGAAACCAGCTGCTGCCTGTTGTATCATATTTAGTAAATATAATCTAACCAAAGTGCAACTGCTCTATGAAGGCCTCAGAGGTTTGGTAGAGAATTAACAGGGTCATGAAGACGTATGTTATGGAGAAAAAAAGCAGGGTTAAGTCATAAAACCACATCCAAAGTTATATATTTTTCACAGAACACTTTTCAGTTCATCATCCAAAGATGGAAAGAGAAAGACACAACTGGTAGCCTACCAAGACATTGGCTGTCCACCGAAGGCAGCTGAGAGGCGGGTAAACAAGTAGCTCACATTAACTCTAAATGAAATGGAAAGATGGAACGTTTTTGACAGGACAGTGATAAGTCATGTACTCAATATGACGTTCATGAAAGAGTGGCAAAAAGAAAGTCATTATTGAAAGAAAGAAATCAGAAGACCTGTTTGTCACAAGCCAGGTAGGGGAAACAGTACACATGTGGAAGAAGGTGCTTAAGTTAGCTGGGACTAAAACTAATCTACTTTGGTGCAAATGTGTAGGGAAAAAATTCATTCTGCAAATCACTTTGAATGCTTAGAACCCACCACAAAAAAGATAGAAATGTAACATTTTTTTCTTTTTGTTTTTAACAGAGACGGACAAGGAAGCTGGTCTGGGTTGATTAAAAGATGGAAGGAGTCAAATGCAGGACAAAAAAAAAAAAAAAAAAAA